GTTTGCACTTCTTCTTGTGGGGAACAACTAAGTTGTCTTGCGCATAGTGTAGGTGTTCATCATTAAATCTTCTTACAACTAGGAATGCATTCTTCTTGTCTACACTATATGTTGAAACCTCCTATAGACAACCATCCACACAGCACTTGACAATAATCTTATGCTTATCATTCTTCACAAATCAGTATCCAAACTTCTGTGCAAGGCTATACTTATATAATGATTCTTTGACATATGTAGCATTAACAGATGTTTGACCTTTTGATATAAACAAATCTGTCCACTTTGCAGAATTCATCACTGGCATTGGGGTTGACAAAATTTTCACACCTAGACTTTCAATGTTTGACGGTCTTTCCCCTCTCTCAATCCCTATTGGTGTTACCACACTTTTTGCTGAAGATGTGTTCAAGTTATTCATGTCTAGATCAAATACAGTTGGAGACATCAACCTTACAAAAGAAGGCCCAACCAAATCATTGATCCTGTATACACAAATACAAATTGTGAGTTTTGCAATTCAATTTTAGAAAATTATACCAAAATCTAAATAATTCTAATTAAAAACAACTTACTCTTGTGCACTGTCCAACTGTGACGTTTGTCTCAAGTTTTTTTCATTGTTGCATATATAAACATACCCACTATTATCATTGTACTCAATTAATTGGCCAACTCCAATATCATCGACAAGGTCCAAAAATGTTCTCGTGTCAAATCTAACTCTTGCACCTTACTATCAGATCCACTTAGGGTTTAATTAAAACCATTTTAGATCATCTTGAATGGTCTTGGGCTCAAAATCTATTTTAAAAAAATGCTGATTTTCGGATTTTTACTGTTTATCGGGTAAAAATCCAGTTCTCTGGTCCAACTTCAAATATTCATAACTTAATCTAGAAAAATCGAAATGGAGTGGTTAAAAATTCTATAAAAAGCTCCTTGAATCCTCTTTCAAGGAAAAATAAGCTTATGAACAAATTCCATTGCAAAAAGTATCAGGTTTTTGTGAAATTCACCTTTGTCCATTTGGCAAAAATCCTTTTTCCAGATTCTGAACCTTAACTTTGAAAAATCATTTAAAATCGTGTAGTTGGCCATTTTTAACGTGCTACATATCAATTTGAAGCTCAGGATGTGAAATTTAAGTATACCAAATTTTGTGTAGGAATTCATTCGGTAACTAAATTAAACGTGGCTCTAAACTGACGTCCTGCTTAGGAATTACAGCACCAATCATTGATATTTATACATAACCAAATGTCCACGAAATTTTTATGGTGTGATACTATAATTTAGCCTCCAATCTGTAGCTTGCTCTTGCGAGTTTCAGGCCCTAAATGTTAGATTATATTTAGGGATGAGATTTTAAGAAATCCCAGTAGCAAGATCAGTCAACCAAAACATTAACATGCATCAATTACAAGCATTTCAACCTTTTGCGATTAATAGGGAACTACTTTACCACATACATGTAGCAGTCTAACATGCAATAGCCAAGGCACATTAAGCAAGGAGTATAGCTACACAATCATCATCATCATCATCATTTAGTTCGACCACATAATAGCACATGAAATTGCATAGCAATCAATGCAACACTCAACATTAAGCTCAATTAAATCTTACTACCTTAATCCAATGCTCTTTGATTTTCTTGTTCTTCTTTCTTGCTTCCACAAATGCCAAACCCTAGTATGGCAATCCACAAAAAGGGCAGTAAGAATCATCAACCATTCCTCATAAAAATCAACAACATAAATCAAGTAATTCCTAAACCCTTTAAAGCTTCAATCTTTATTCTTGAATTTTTAGAGTTTATTTCCTTTAACCCTAAAAATTCCCTCTTGACTCATTCCTACATAATTTTTCATGTAGATTCCAAATATCTACTTGGATTTAACAAAATAAATTTCCTCCTTTCAGTTTTAGCTTGACCAAACCATTAGGGTTCCTTATCCAAAAATTTCAACTTTGATTCTATGGCTTCCAACACTTGTTCTTTAGGTTTATCCTACACTATTTTCTATTTTGAGCACAATGGAAGCCTCAAAACTTTGAAAAACTCATCCTAAGGTTTAGATCTTGCCTTGGACGAAATGGGTCTCAAGCAACACAACCAAGGAAACACTCCAAAATCAACCTTCAACCACTTGTAACTACTAGGATCTACCATACTTTGAAGTGTTCTAGCAAGATTGAACCATAAAACTTCCTCCCTTACCCCATAAGCATTTTGGCCAGCTCCAAATGAAGAGGGAAAACCAGAAATTTCAACCATACAAAGCAATAAAACAAAGCAAGGAACATCTTAAGACAACTTACTAAGCTTGGATCTTAGTTGGAAGATCAAATATGCTTGATTTCCCTTCAAGCTCTCTCTTTTCCCTTTTCTTCTTGCTTGGCCGAAACATTGATTAGATTTAGGGGGAAGGATGAGCTCATTCAATGCACACAAAAAATCCCACCAACTATCATTAATGTTATGCCATGTGTCAAAAGCCTACTTAGTCTTAATCCTCTCTCTTAATCAACTTAAATCATAATGTAATTAAATTCCAAAGTCAAGATCGTCTCCATTGGTAGCTTGACATTTGGAAAGCTTTAATTACCATCCATTAAAGGCTTGACAAGTGGCAACTTGTGGGCCAAGTAAAATGCAAGACTCTGCTTCTTGCTTTATCGGTGCACTTTTATTCCAGGTTTAACTTCTTTTCTATAATTACAATGCTCTAGCCTCTGTAATTATTTTCTGTCAGATCCATAAATTATTGTCCTCATTTTTATCTTCCCAAATTGCCCTCTTTCTCTCAAATTTAATTTCCCAATAATTAAATAAAAAGGAAAACTAATTTCTTTTTCTTTAGTGATTTTTTTTCACTTTTAAGAGGAATTGAGAAAAATCTTAAATACTTGAGGGTCTTTTTTTAATTTCATAATCTCTTATAATCGTCCTTAAATTCCTTTGTAATTTCTCTAAGGGCAATTTGGTCATAAAACCAATTTTATAATCCCATATAATTCTCAAGGAACATTTTCCTTATTTTTCCTTAATTTTCTAAGACTTGGAAATATTTTTCATAATTATTCTTGACAATTTTCCTTAATTAGTCAAACTTTTCATAATTGGCTTGGAAAATTATAATAATTATTTTCCACCAAAATTTTTTTATTTCTCCTTGTCATTTTTGACCCTTAATTATTTAGGAATATCCCTATTCCTAAATGTCATATTACTGGATGTGACACTAACTATGTACTTCATTTTATATTGACCACTCCCTGGCCAAACATCATCTCCTGCCATTCTTTGTAGTTCTTCGTATATAATCTATTTTGTGATCAATCTTTCACTTACAATACCCCCTTCATATATCAATTTTTTGGGGTCTTCACAAATTCCCCTCCCATATAGAAGAAGCAAAATAATTGTTTCCTACTATTAATAGCAATTTATAATCTGTTGCTGCATATCATTCAACTTTTAATTTCAATCACCTATCAACAATAATAGATAGTATACGTTAACAACAGGAATTTGCAATTTGACAATAGAAATACGGGTTCTCATAACATTAAATTGCCATTTTCCTATACTACTCCAATTTGCCACCTCACAATCCGAATACATATTTTCACAACTTCAAGTTATTATTTCTCTACACTTTTACCTTTCACATTACCCATTTCAGCACATACACCTATTTCCCTTTCATCCGCCTCTAAGTTCCTTCAACCACGCATTACGATAAGTGTTCACCCATTCTCACCCACTTATCAAAAATCACTAACACTTCTTGTTTATCAACATTAAAGAACAAGACAATAACAGTCTCTTTCTAAAATTTAAAGCACCATCAGATTTCTCCCTCTCACTACCTACTTACCTATGCATTTAAATACTTATTTCTACATTATTCAGCCACCACAATCTAACTGTGCTCAACAAGTCAGCTCAACAAAACGAAAATTTGGAAATTTTGTTTTTAACCTCACACACCAAGCACCACACATGATCACGACGCCACACCGTAAGCCACAGTTACGGTTTCTCTCACTTCAACAACATTGACCGTGACCTTCCACAGACCGCCGACGGATGCAATTTCAGACTGACCATCACCCACTGCATTTTCTCAGCTCATTCTCGTCGATCACCTCCCTTTATTACTGCATGGGTATAGGAACAATTGGTGCCAACTTCTCCTTTTTCCCTTTTTTTTTTCTTCCTTTTCAGCACAAGTCATTTCGTAGGGCATTTCAGTAAAATGGGTTTATTAATTAATTTCAGTTTGTCCCCGGGTCTTTCAGTGAAATTTCAGAATCCTTTATTGAAATTTCAGAATTTTTTGGAGGTTGTTTGAAATTTATTCCCATCTGCGGTCCTAAATTGAAATTTTCCCATTTAATTATTTTAATGACACAATAATTGTGGCTGCACTTTTCACATTTCTTTGGAACTGAACATTGATGTTTTATCAGGGAGAATAACATTGTAGGTAGTTTTACTAAAAAATTTTTTATATGAAATCAATATTTAGTAAAACCATTGACATTAGATCCTTAAATCTTATATTTTATTGTCCAAATCATATATAAGAAAAATCATATTTTCAAAAATTAATAACGAAAGATGAATTTTCTTTACAATAAAAAAGAAAGAATATTATAAATTATTTTTCAGTTGTATCAATTATTTTGATGTGTCATCCTATGCTTCACATAGAGAAGATTCTAGGTATCAGTTCAGTGGGAGAGGAGACGAACCCCCTTTTTGGTCGAGTTTATTTTAGGAGATGTTTAGATGGAAACCAAACCATGGTTTCAGAAGTGTTTTTACGGTTTAAAAAGTAAATATATAGAGGTTTGTCTCGTTTTACGAAAAAATGCTTCTGAGAAGGACTTTTGAGGGTTACCAAACATCCCTAATACCTGATGCACACGAAGCCCATCAACAAACCCGAAAGCCCAGTAATTCTCGTGGCCAGAATTGGTGCGTTGTGTCTCATCCTCCTCCTGCATCAGTAGCGCTGCTGCTCATCCTCCGGATTCTTTCTTTCCCCTCTTCATTATTCTCAGACCTGCCTCTGTGCATTTGATCACGCGAGCTCAATTAAGCTTCGTCTTCGGATTTATCTCCTTCCTTTGGTGAGTCTTTTTTCCTTCCCCTCTCTTCCATTTTCCCACCTCCTCGGATCTGTGAACTGCTTTGGAATTCTGTATTCTCCTATTTTGGTAATTTATATTGTGAATGTATATGGTTGAGCTATGAATCATGCACGGATATCTCGATTCGCATCCCTTCCTGTGGAAGCCTGGGACTTTGTCATAATCCCAAGTTTATGCTTTTCCAATATATCCTCGGAAAATTGGGTGACCGATTTAAATTAAGCGTGATTGTGTTGGAGACATTGCTTGATACTCGAGCTTGTTATATTTAGTGTTTAATTCATCGACCCTCTCTTGCTATCCCTCTTGTATTTGTTGTATGTGTATGTTTAGCCAGATATGCGGAACTGAAATGCCTGAAATCCATCATGTTGTGCCTGTGCCTGGAATATGGATTGACAGCGGGACTATTTTATTTTAAATTTATTTTATGGCGCGGTTAGGAAGATTGGCTTTTTCATCTATATGGTCACTTGCATAAGAAGCTCTGAAAAATTTTGACAGTGATGCTGCTACTAAGTCTTAGAGGCGTGTATATTTGGATGTCTTTCTGTGAACAGTAAAGCATTCAACTTTCTACTGACTTTTTACCCTCTGCAGGAATAAGAAAATGTTCTTTAATGTCGAGGGTAAAATTGATGAAATTTATTATTACCAGTGTTCATCATCTTTAGCATGAACTACGTGAAAACATGAAGTCTTCTGTAAAGCTGATTGTGTTATCTGCTCTTGAAAGAATGCTTTGCGAAATATACCAAAAAAATATTATCTTCTGGATATACATAATCATTTCATGATAGTAAAATCATGATCTACTCCTTTTAGTTACAATGCCTGAGTGGAAGCGACCCTGCTCAATTTCTTGCATGACAATTTTTTATACGGGGGCTGACGAGTTATCCTAACTCTTCATTCCCCTTTCGTTTTGAAATGCATTCTTGAAAAGCATTTGATCCTTCACTTTTATGGTCTTCTGTTTTAACTTCTTATTGCTGGATTCTAGACCTTTGACTCTAAATCGTTGGTCTTAACAACTTAGACTTATAAGGTTCATTACTTAGCAGCTCCTGTTTTCTTTGTGCTTTCTGTTTATAAATTGATATTAAATTTTCAAGGAACATACAATCCTGGGAATTAAAATTTGAGGCTCTAAGGTGTTTCTGATGTGTAATTTGTAAATAAATCGTTAAGGTAGTTAAGTCATTTTATAATTTTATTAAAAGGGCTAGAGTATCTAATTAGGATTAAGATTAAATGTTTTGATATATTAGGATTGATATTATGAGATACTAGGATTGATATTATTAGATATTAGGATTGGATTCGGATTAGATGTTTAAGGATTTTAATTAGATATTTTATGAGGATTTGGATTTATCCATCACTTATGAATAAGGGCAATCATTAGTCTTATTCTCTGTTTTGATTCCTTGAATTATTGAGTATGATTTTAGTTTCTCTTCTATTCTCTTCTCTATTCCATCTCTCTCTTTCATCTTTCTTCTACAATATTCCTGTCAGTTTTGTATTATTTGTTTGTTTTATATTTGTTATGTGTTAACGATGTGATAAGATTCCTAGTAAACTCACTATGACTTATCAGAGGCGAAACAAAAGGAATTCAGTTAAAGTCTGACTTGGTCCTTCTTGCTTTGTTTAGATTAGTTAATCTCTTTTATTCAGGGTTATGGAGTCAGTTAGCAAAATGAAAGCTGAATAATTCTATTTATTCACTTAATTGAATCAAAGAGTACAGCAGAATAAATAGATAAAAGGATCTCTCAATGATAGGAGAGAGAGTCCAAGATACTAGGAATAATAATGACCTAAGATTAAGGACTAATAAAACCTAAAATCAAGGAGAATAAAATCAAATTCAAATACCTAATCAGATAGATTTGATTATTCTAACAACTATAATTTAACCTAGATTAGATCTAGGGTTTCTTGGCCCAAAGGCCCAAATAGGGTTCTGCACTAACACTCCCTCTCGAGCTGGCAAGTAGATGTCGTACATGCCAAGCTTGCCTCTGAAGAACTCAAACTTGCTTCTGTCTAGAGGCTTTGTAAGAATATCTGCCACTTGAAGATTTGACCTTATGTAGACTAGGTCAATTATATTTGCTTCAATCTTTTCTTTTATAAAATGCCTGTCAATGTCCACATGCTTGGTCCTATCATGATGGACTGGGTTGTGAACCATTTGTAGAGCTGATTTGTTGTCACACCAGAGTTTGAGAGGTAGGTTAGTATCCATTTTCAATTCTCCTAGGACTCGGGTTAGCCATATTCCCTCACAAACTCCATTAGCAAGAGCCCTTAGCTTAGCTTCAGCACTGCTTCTTGATACTATTGTTTGTTTCTTGCTTCTCTAAGTAACCAAGTTACCCCACACAAAGGTAAAGTATCCTCTAGTAGACCTTCAGCTCACTTTGTCTTTTCCATGATCCGCATTTGTATAAACCACAATGTCTTGAGAGGTTCCCTTAGTGAAGAAAATTCCTCTTCCAGGGGTCATCTTTAGATGCCTTAGGATGGTATATATGGCTTCCATATGTTGTTCTTGTGGTTGAGATGAAAATTGACTTACCACACCCACAGCATAACTTATGTCTGGTCGGGTGTGAGACAAGTAAATAAACTTTCTGACCAATCTTTTGTACCTTTCAGTATCTACAAGCACCCCATCCTTGTATTCTAGACTGGTAGACGAATCCATAGGAGTTGAGGATGGCTTAGCTTCCAACGTACCTGTTTTCTTAAGCAAGTCAAGAGTGTATTTTCATTGAGACATAGATATTCCTGCCTTTGATCGAGCCACTTCCATTCCTAGAAAGTATCTGAGGCTCCCAAGATCCTTTATTTCAAATGCAGCTGCCAAAGCTTTCTTTAGTTGCTTGATTTCCTCCAAATCATTCCCTGTCATCACTATATCAACATATACTGTTAGAATGGAAACTTTGGACCCGGAGTGTTTCACAAAGAGAGTGTGATCAGCTTGGCATTGAGTATAGCCTGAGCTTCTCACGACTTTGGTGAATCATTCAAACCAAGCTCTGGGTGATTGTTTTAACCCATAGAGGGATTTGTGCAGCTTACATGCCATACTTTGTCTCCAAATTATGCAATTCCTTCAGGAACCTTCATATATACTTCTTCTTCAAGATCCCCATTTAGGAAAGCATTCTTCACATCTAATTGATGTAGTGGCCATTCAAGATTTGTTGCCAAGGATAATAAAATCCTTATTGTATTCAACTTAGCTACAGGGGCAAAGGTTTCTTGATAATCAATTCCTTGTGTTTGTAAATATCCTTTGGCCACTAGGCGAGCTTTGAATTTACTTACTGTTCCATCAGCATTATATTTAATGGTAAACACCCAGTTGCACCCCACTGCCTTCTTACCTTGAGGTAATTTTTCAACCATCCATGTCTGATTTTTATTCAATGCATTTAGCTCTTCATTGATCGCTTCACGCCACCTAGGATCTTGCACTACCTCTTCAAATGTTGGGGGAATTTTTTTCTTCATCAATTTTAGTGGCAAAACTTTTCATACATGAGGAGAGCTTATCATAAGATATAAAATTGCTGATAGGATGAAGAGTGCACTGCCTTACCTCTTTTTTTAGAGCAATGGGCCATCCAAGCTCATCAAGTTTTGGATTTGAGTTTGATTCTTGGTGTTGCCTTGAGCTAGAGGGATCTCCATTACTTGGATTTTGGGCTGTCTCGTGCTCCTCATCCTCTTCTTCCTCTGATTCCCCAGATTCCTCAAGTTCATTACTGTTTTTTGGGGTAGTAGTACTCAGTTCAGGTCCGGGATGATTCTGGGATTGGGTTAGAGATCTGGTAGGACTTGTTTCAGGTTTGTTGGGGGCAATATCAGCTGGGGGCAATATCAGCTGCAGTAGGTTCTGTTTCAGGTGGTATTTGAGTGGTTTCAGCTCTGGAGTTATTTTCATGGGTGTTCAAAGGTGCAGAATTATTTCCAGGGATAATTTATGATGATTCTGGTGGGCTAAGAAACTCCCATTCCCTCTCACTCTCCCCCTGAATGGGTGGTTTCAGATAATAGGCTTGGTGCTCATTAAAGGTAACATCCATGGTTACGAAGAATTTGTGTAAGGTAGGAGAATAACACTTATAGCCTTTTTGGGAAATAGAATACCCAAGAAAAATACATTTAATGGCTCGTAGATCAAATTTGCTTCATGCTGAATGGTGAACATAAGCTACACAATCAAAAATTTTAAGGGCATTTGGGTGGCAATGGTAGTGAGAGGGTAGGTTTTGGTTGTGAGACCCATTGGAGTTTGAAAGTTGAGTCTATGAGGACTGCCTCACCCCAATACGAATTGGGAACATTGTGAGCAAGCATCAAGGCATGGGTTACTCTAAGTAAGTGTCAATTTTTGTGCTCGGCTATACCGTTTTGTTGTGGGGTGTTAATGCAGCTAGTTTGGTGGAGAAATTCCATGGTTTTTAAGGTGGGTTTGTAGAGTAGTGGCCATGTACTCTCTCCCATTATCACTTCTTAGTGTGTGTACGTTTGTTTGAAATTGGGTGTGGATCATTTTGTGGAAATTGATAAAGGTAGGCACCAAGTCAGATTTTTCTTTCATGAGATATATCCATGTTACCTGTGTATGGTCATCAATAAAAGTCACAAACCACTTGGCATTTGTCAATGATTTAACACGTGTAGGTCCCCAAATGTTACTATGTATTAAATTAAAAGGTTTAGAAGATTTGTGAGGCTGGCCTTTATAAGGGGATCTGGTGTGCTTTGCTAATTGGCAAATTTCACAAGATAAGGTGTTTTTATTGAATTGAGGAAAAAGTTTCAACATGTACTGAAAATTAGGATGGCCTAACCTATAGTGTCATAACAACAAGTTTTTATTTGAGGAATTGGTAAAAACAAAGAAAGTCTTCAAACTTGAATAGCACGCATCTGAGAGCTGCAAGTTTCCAAGCAATAGAGCCCCTCTAGGATCTTAGCTATGCCAATCGTCTCCCTCAACTCCAGATCCTAAAAAACACATGTAGTGGCAGAAAAATAGACATTACAACTTTGAGTGTTTGTAATAGTTCTAACAGAAATTAAGCTGCATTTTAATTCTGGAGCATAAAAAACATCATAGAGGACCAATTTTTCATTTATTCAAGCAGTCCCAAAGCCCATAACCTTCACTGTTTTTCCATCAGCCACTTGAATAGAAATATTTAATGTGCAAGGTCTAATATCTGTCAGCAAATCAGGATTACCAGTCATGTGATCAGTGGCACCAGAATCAACAATCCATAAATCTTGGCAGTTCACATCAGTTTTTAAGGCTAGGATTGTTTTACCTGTATGAGCAATATATCCTGAAGATACTGACTTTTCTTTCGGTTGATGCCTGTTTGGAATTCTTTTTAGAAGTTCTACCTCTTCTCTGTTCAGATCTGATTCCTTTTTTGAAGTGCTGTCAACAGTTCCAGCATATCCTCTGCTATCCTGTCGTGATTTCTTGGCTGGTTTCCCATGTAATTTCCAGCATACCTCCCTTATATGGCCTTTCTTTCGATAATGGTGACACCATTTTCCCTGTTTTGGTTTATCATCCTATCTAGAGGTCTCTTTTAATAGCAATCCATGGGGTTGTTGGTCTGCCACAGTTGGAGTCACTAGAGGTAAGCTTTTTTTGAGTTTCTTCAGTTCTTACCATGAAGAATACTTCACGCAGAGAGGGTAGAGTGTCTAGATTCATGAGCCTGCCCCTCACATCATCATATGCAGCATCTAAACCAAGCAGGAATTTAAAGATACTTTTTTCTTCTTTGATCTTTTCATATAGAGTTGCATCTCCAGGACACTTCCACTCATGAGTATCATACATATCTAACTGCTGCCATCTAACAAACAAGTTAGTATAATATTGAGTGACTGAAAGGTTACCTTTTTTAAAGTCATGGAGGAATCTTTCAATTTCCAGAATTGCAGATTTGTTTTTTAGGGACGTAAACATGTCCCTGGCCACTTCCCATACTTCATGAGCTGTGTGGAAGAAAGAGAAGTGGCAGCTGATTTCGGTGGTCATGGAATTTATTAACCATGCCTGTACTATAGAGTTCTCAGCTTCCCATGTAGCAAACTTGGAGTCTGTAGCTTCCCATGTAGCAAACTTGGAGTCTGTAGCTTCTGGTTTCTTTTGTGAACTAGTTAGATAGCCGAATTTTCCCTTTCCCATCACGTACAGCCTAATGCTGCTTGCCCATTGAATATAGTTCTGCCCGTTCAGTTGACGGATGGTGATAGAGACTGGATTGGCATCGGATAGGGCTTGACTGCTAGGGTTTGAAGTTGTTGTTGTCAGGCCGGCGGGTTAGTCAATGAGCTTTCTGAACTTTGGTCATCGGCGTCCAGACCAAAGTCAAATTTGATTATTGCTCTGATACCATGAAAGCTGAATAATTCTGTTTATTCACTTAATTGAATCAAAGAGTATAGCAAAATAAATAGATAAAAGGATCTCTCAATGATAAGAGAGAGAGCCCAAGATACTAGGAATAATAATGACCTAAGATTAAGGACTAATAAAGACCTAAAATCAAGGAGAATAAAATCAAATTCAAATACATAATCAGATCAGATGTGATTACTCTAACAGTTGTAACTTAACCTAGATTAGATCTAGGGTTTCTTGGCCCAAAGGCCCAAATAGGGTTCTGCACTAACACAAAATAATAGGATCATTAGGTCATTCATGATCCACTTTGTTATGCACGTCTTCCATTTTCATTGTAATCTCGAGAATGTAGGGATATTTAGTTGTTTTATGATTGTTGCAAGTGTCATTTAGCTCTATAAATATGTTAGCCTCCTTGTTAGCTGACATATGAGTGAAATACAATTTGAGTTCAATATTTTAGAGGTTCTTTTGGGTTATTTTCTCTACTTATAGTGAGATACTTACTATGAGGAAGAGATTAGAGTGTTATTTTTCTGCCTTATTGATTTTTCTAGATAGAGTACATACGAATTTGGTATCAGAGCCTGGTTGAGACACGCTCTTCTCGAAACCAAACGGAGGACAATCCTTTTGCTGCAGACCATCTTGCTGCCATAGCTTACAAACTTGAAACTCTGGAGGTTATAGCTGAAAGACTGACAAGCTTAGAAGCTGCCACTACTAAGAATGATTGGGGAAGAGGAAGACATCGCCATTTTGCTGATGACAGTGATGATGATTCTGAATTGTATCGAAGGGGACACAAGCGACCTCACACCAAGATGGAATTTCTAAAGTTTAATGGAAGACATGCATAACAAAGTGGAACATGACTGATCTAATGATCCTATATTTTGCTAACTGACTCTGTAAAGCTGAATAAAAGAGATTAACTGATTGAAATAAAGCAAGAAGGACCAATTCAGACTTTAACTGAATTCCTTTTATTTCGCCTCTAATAAGTCGCAGTAGGTTTACTAGGAATCTTATCATTATGTTAGCAAAATAATAGGTTATGCACTTTTATTCAGGTTTATGGAGTTAATTAGCAAAATAATAGGATCATTAGGTCAGTCATGATCTACTTTGTTATGCATGTCTTCCATTTTCATTGTAATCTGGAGAATGTAGGGATATTTAGTTGTTTCATGATTGTTGCAAGTGTCATTTAGCTCTATAAATATGTTAGCCTCCTTGTTAGCTGACACATGAATGAAATACAATTTGAGTTCAATATTTCAAAGATTCTCTTGGGCTATTTTCTCTTCTTATAGTGAGATACTTACCGTGAGGGAAAGGTCAGAGTGTTATTTTTCTGCCTTGTCTATTTTTCCAGATAGATTACATACCATTATGCATGCATATTCAAAGCAATTTTTGCTTCTTACATTGTCTAGCCATAATCCTTCATTCATGAATCTCCCACGCTCCTTGCACTTCTCGTGGAAATCTTGATTGTAAGCTTTATTAATTTTTGCGATCTTCCAGTGCAGATAATATCTGATGAACAGCGTTTATGTACTCATTTGTTATCCATGCTTACATGGTCACTACCCATGTCATTGCCCTTATGCTTGTTTAGATTACTTATATCTCTGCTTATTGGAGAATTTATTATTAACTCATTTTTAAGCTTCTGTTCACTCTGAATAATTTTGCAGTGCAAACTGAGACGGAGATGGCTGGAGGTATTATTCAACAGTTATTGAGGAGAAAACTCCAGTCTCAATCTACTGTAAGCTTTTCTGCTTTTTCTCGGGTTATTTTTTGCTCTTTGACAGCTTTTTCTTGTTCCTGTAGCCCATGCAGCCCACAAAGGGACACTCTTAGTTTAAGATGAAGAGTGGGCGTTGAAAAGGGAAAAGACAGTGCTATGTTGATATGCAAGATTATAAAAGAAAACATTTTTTTGCTTTTTTTCCCTTCTGTTTTTTTTCATTTTTTCTTCTTTTCAGATGTAGGGTGTTCAAAGTGATGCATCTTGTTCTTTCTTATATTGTATGATTGGCCAATAGTATTAAGATACTGTTAAGGATATACATTTGGATGACCACGATGTTAATCCTTTTGATGGAGGAAAATATTCTGCTTTATTATTTTATAGTTGCTACCCAAATAGAGAATTCATCAACTTATGGCCATAAAAAGGTTAAAGAAAAAGCATTATTGTACTATTAATGATTTGCAAACACATAGTTATGTTGAAACTAAATAGTCTTTATTGATAAACTGATATGCATTTCTAGTGTTAAGATCATGGTCAAAGAGGAAAGTCAAATAGTAAAATTTCCTGCGTCTTACAAAATACGAACTGATTTGGCTAATTTTATTTCCGTTTACCTTGAAGAATTGTGTTCATCCTTATAGCTTAAACCAACTCTCATACGAGCTCCGGGCAGTTCATTCATTTGACCGTAGACTAGAGCTGCATGGATCAGATATATCATGACGAATTCTTCAGAAAAAATTGTGTCTTACATGTGTGCTTGCCATTTGTCATTATTCTAACTCTTGGTATTTGATGGAGACTTATGTTGTATGGGATACTTAAGTCATATTGAGTAGTATGGGGGTGCTCAATAAAGTATTCAAGTGGGTTGGTTCTCTTATTGCAATAGCTAGTTTTGAGTGAGATTCCTCCATCCATTGAATGATCGTTGAAGGGTTCCAAAGAGGAAGTTGGTACAGCCATTGGGATGTCATGTCTCCAAAGGGGCCATTGATGGAGACTTACGTATTACAAAATGCCTAAATTTCATATTGGGGAGTATGGAATATTTAAGTGGGTGTTGCTTTAACCTTAATGACTAGCTTTTGGGGGAGGGTTTCCCGTCACACTTGAGTACATTATTATTGCTTTTCTAGAAAGCAGATATACTTCTTTAACTGAATGACATTTTGCTATTGGGTAGTATGGGATAATTAATAGGATATCTCACTTGATTACCTATTTTTCTGTTTTTCTTGCCCAAGTTTATTGTAATTATGCATAATGCAACTGACTCATTATTAAACACCTTGCAATTTTAAGTCACTAGATTCAGTTCTTTATTTATTTTCAGTCTTCTAATTATTTTTATGGAAAGGAGGAGGTTTAGGATATGCCAGATATATGTGTCCATCTTTCAGTTGCTATTTTTTCCCTGTTGATAATGTTGATAAAGCTGAGAGCTTTATTCCAGTTATCTCTCAATGCATGCAGTCATCATATTGTACATACTCATGCAGACTGGTATAGTTGGAAGATCTCAGTAACCTTTTTAATTAGGATTCAAATATTTTCTTCCAACGAAACAAGGTTTGCCACGCCATGTGCTCATAGTTGCTTTATACTTTGTGCAGTCCTCTTCCTTGGTATCATCCATCATCACGAAAAAAGATGATGCTGGCTCTACTGGCAGCAGGTCCTTGAGAGCACTTGCATTAATTGGAGCCAGCGTCTCAGGGTTTTTGAGTTTTGCTACAACAGCTTCAGCTGATGAGGCTGAGCATGGCCTGGATTGTCCAAGCTATCCATGGCCTCACAAGGGCATCCTCAGTTCATATGATCATGCTTCGTGAGTTCTACTTTGCTTTCTCCTATAACTTTTCCTTCCTTACTATTATTGGTAGTTGGCAAGTTTGGAACTACAGACCTTCAATATAAGCTTATATTTGATTTCCTGGGACAGAAATTGCTTCCTCTTTAACTTACTCCCATGATGGATTTTTGGGTGTATTACTGTAATTCGTTGTAGTAGGCCCTTGTCAAGTTCCTTCTTTTCTGGTTTAGTGGGCATTGCTCTCATCTTATTCCTCCATTTTTGGTTTAGTGGGCATTGCTCTCACCTTTCTCAACTTAGGTCAATCCTCTTGCTTTGTTACCCCATATCTTTGATGTCCTCTTGCATGGTTCGTTGCTGGAATTAAGTATCATTTGTCATTAGCTCACCTGTTAAAATAATAATAATAATAATAAAGTTCATGTCGTGCTACTGTTCTTAATTCTTCGAATAATTTCTCATGGGCAGGATACGTCGTGGTCATCAAGTTTATACACAAGTCTGTGCTTCCTGCCATTCTATGTCTTTGATATCATACCGTGATTTGGTTGGTGTTGCTTATACAGAAGAAGAGGTAAAGGCTATGGCAGCTGAGATTGAAGTGGTTGATGGCCCTAATGATGAGGGTGAGATGTTTACACGCCCTGGTAAACTCAGCGATCGCTTTCCTCAGCCATATGCAAATGAAGCAGCTGCTAGGTTTGCTAATGGTGGGGCTTATCCTCCAGATCTTAGTCTCATAACCAAAGTAATGCATTTTCCTACCAGTATTGCCATTAAGATATTTCTATGTTATATTTGTATGCAAATGTCTTAATATCTGTCCTTTCAGGCCCGCCACAATGGTCAAAATTATGTGTTTTCCCTTCTTACTGGTTATCGTGATCCTCCTGCTGGTGTTTCGGTAAATTCTTAACTAAAGATCTCTTTCAGAATTCTACTATAACTGCTGAAATAACTTTGTCTATTTAAATACAATGCTGATGCTACCCATAAGAAAAGAAAGAAAAAGAAATCTTATGTTTATTTCTGCAGTGTCATTAGGGCCCTCTCCTTTCCCTTTCGTCTGTTATTAATTAGTCTATTTCTGAATTATGCATCATTTCCATGGCGTGTCCTTTTGCTGAAGTTGTCCATGTAATGCTAGGTTTAGATGCAATAGTATTCCTCTATTTTGGGGTATATAAATCAGCAATATGGAGATATGGTGGAAAGAAGTTTCTCATTATATATTCAGTAAAGCATTCATGATGTGGGATTCTCTGTACTCGACTTCAATTATCAGTCATATGCATATCGTAAACCATGGAGTGATGAGCTCTCTCTTATATTTAGTTCCATTTAAATATAAAATGTTCATAGAACTTTTTGAGTGACCCCTACATCCATACCAACATGCGATATTTTGGTTGAAATTTTTTCTTATGATTAGCTTTATAAATAAATGTGTAGATTAGAGAGGGATTACATTATAATCCTTATTTTCCTGGTGGAGCAATTGCCATGCCTAAAATGCTTAATGATGGTGCTGTTGAATATGAAGATGGTACTCCTGCCACAGAGTCCCAGGTATGTTAGCTTGAGGAACTGTTTTAGTAGATTTTATGAGTGCTATTTATGGATATGGGGGAAATCAGAAACTTGTTCTCTTCCTTGATGTTTTTGCTGCAGATGGGAAAAGATGTCGTGACATTCCTTGCTTGGGCTGCTGAACCTGAAATGGAAGAGAGAAAACTGGTTTGGTTACCTTCTATGTACTTTCTTCCTCCAGATGAATGAATACGACATTTTTTAACAAGAATGTTACAAAATGCAGATGGGTTTCAAATGGATTTTTGTACTGTCGTTGGCACTTCTTCAGGCCGCCTATTTCCGTCGATTGAGGTGGTCAGTTCTGAAGTCTCGCAAGCTGGTCCTTGATGTTGTCAACTAGCTGGCCTCAACTTTCGTTTTCGCTTCAGAAGGGATTTCTGTTGGCAATAATTTTGTCAGATCATTATGTTGTCCCATCATGTGTTATTCGTTATGTTGTCCCATCATGTGTTATTCGTTCAATACAATTAGAGGGTAATGGAGCATCCAGAACCGGAAGAGTGTTAGATGTTTGTTGGACAGTAATAAGCTGTGAAAACTTACATGTTGCAAGACCCTACTCGAGTTTTTCTTTCCGCTTACCTCGTGTTACTCTGCTGGAGCATCAACTCAGTTTGATTCATTCTCTATAATTAGCCTGATATGGCGGCAAGTGACGTCTATTTTAAGGTAAAAGAATGATATACAATAGGGTTGATGTGGCCTACATGGAAACAATGGTCCTTTCTCTGCCTCAACATCATGCGAATCTCGTACTCTTGCATTTTTCCTTGACCATTATTTATACTCTATTATACTCTGTCATCTCACGTAGTTTTTGGCTGTTGCAGCATTTTTCTTGGTGCTTGATGTTTGAACGCAATGTGGGCCTAGTTTGCAACTCAAAATTCTTTTCCTTACTTGAGCCGTTCTGTTACTTTTTTCAAACGTTATGTGAGGGTACGCAAGAATTTGTGTGAATGTTGACAAATATATATAATATTAAAGGTTAATATTTTTCTGGTTTTAAATATAAGACCTACTTGTGGTAAAATTACAATTACATTACAAAGTTTAGGATTGGAAGAGTATAATTTTTAGCCTTTGAATTTTGGACTATTTTAGTTTTCATTCCCCAAATTTCAAATTATACTAAAAAGTGAGTTTTATACTTAGGATTGGAAAAATATAATTTGTTTCTTAGAATTTAGATATATGTTTTACTTCAATCCCCAAATTTTAAATTTGTAGGTTTAATCTTTCAAATTTAGTCCGTTTTAAAATATTAGTCATTAGAAGTACAATGATATTAAAATCTTTTGCATTGTCATAAATGAGATTTAAGTGGTGATTTGAATTCAGTAGATGATGCTTAGCTGGGTCTTGTGTAGATAAAAGAAGATAAAAACTGGTCCTCAAAATGTAGCTGTTTAGTCGCTCATTTAAAGAGCCATTAACTCCATGGAGTCCCATTTTGTTCTTTGCATTTTGAGGACCTGTTCTCTGTTTTGCCTGTTATTAACATAAGATCGAGCTGGGTGTCGTCTAGTTAATTCACATCATCATTTTAATACAGTTTATGACATTTCAACAGATTTAACATTATTACATTTTTAGGAACTGAGGTTCTAAGACGGACTAAATTATAAAGTTAAAATTGTGAGTTTAAAATTTGAGGAATTGAAAAAGGTGACTTCTGTTGCCACCAAAAGTTTTTAGCGTAGTGAGTGTTAATACTTTTGTAACTTTCAGCTGCATTACTAAGCATACACTTTTAGCAGTGACATCATTACTTTACTCTGTCATGTCACTACCACAAGTTGTGTCATGTCACCTATTGTTATTTTCTTCTCACAAATTGTCTCTTTCCAAGTTTAAACCCTGGACCTTTTTGTTGTGATGTGAAGCTTATTACGATGTGATTTGAAATGGAATTATTTATTTCAGAAATAATATATACATATATAGAGCTAACATCTATAACTATTATATATTTATTTTACCAGCATGTTCTTTATTTATATACATAATATAAATTACATAAATATTTACTTTTCTTTTTTTTAATAAAACATCAATTTTATTCAAAGACTAGATAAAAGGGTTATACAGAGAAAGCTAACCAATAACGTTCAATTAGTTTGAATGAGGCTCAACCCAACATAACAATAATAAAAAAGTAGAACAATCTAACAATAAAGACAACTACAAAAACTAACATAATAAGAACAGAAAAGAGACTAGCTATCACATGGAAACAAAAACAGTCTTGAATCTGACTGTAGTCTCCAAATCTTGCTAGCAGATTTGAGTCAGCCCAAAGCTTAAGACACTTGCTACACCAACCATTTTTCTTACTACTTAGCTATTTTCATGAAGCTGTATCATACAAAGGAAAAAGCAGGCTGGCTTTCAATAGATAACGCTACTAAACTGTATCATACGAAGGAACATGCAGGCTGGCTTTCAATAGATAACGCTACTACGAGGCATTTAGGCAACCCAATATCTTACGACATTTGCACCTTTTGGGGCATTGAAAGAAGCTTTGCCACAAAACACTAGAGATAAATAACTGTTACAAAGATGAATATGGAGGTTGAGAAGAGTCGGTGATAGACCTCGATCAAAGATACTCTGGAATAGGAAAGATGACACCACTACCAAAGATAGCCAATGAAGCGATAGCAGCACAATCCGGGAGATAAGCAAACAACTACTCAAAATGGTGACAAAGGAGAGCACGTGTAACTAGGAACAACAACAAAACAACCAAAATCTAAAGAAAAACTAGAAAAATAAACAAAAGCAACATTGCAAGTTAGGCCTCCAAGTGGCTGCAAACTAACTTAAAGGCCCCTGTTAGTATCATAAACATTTGTAGAGCTTTTTGGCAGAAGCTTTGGAAAAACCCAAACAGGCAACATGAGGCTCAACCAAAGAACATTGTCTTCCTCAAACATTTGATACAAAAGATAAGTAAAAAAGAAGGCAGATCCATTATAACCCAAGACTCGTCCCCTGCCTTTACCATCAATCTTGTTGGAAGTATCAAATTTTGTCTACACAGGGCTCTTAATACCACTAACAATGAAGAAATCACTGACTTCCCTTAAGCTAGAAGACTTTTGTAAGGAAGCACAATTTTCCTTGTGAAAGCAGTACTTGCGCTTTCTTATGATGGCAGGCAAAGATTTTGTAAGAGTTAGAAGCTTTTCTTTTAAGGTGGAGTGACAAGTAGAGAAAGCATTTGATGATTTAGCTTGTTTGATAGGTGACTCAATTAGATCTTTAAAGAAATCTTCAACAGGCTGCTTCTTAGAATCATGTGAAGGAACACATGGAACAAGGGGATTTGATATTGGTTCAACTGAAGGAGAAGCAGTCGGCTGGAGAGGGGAAGTCCATATTAGGATGCGCATTAGAACTTAAGGCTCAAAGTTTCAACCCAATATTCTAACGACAGATAAAATGATGGCTTGACATAGAAATATGACCTAATTTGGATCCCATGATCTGAAATAAGACCTGATCACTTCTCATCATCATACTGCAATGGTTGCTATGAAACTCCACACCTCCTTAACCATGATAGATTGAATTTGCATGTTCAAATAGAAAGGAGAATGAAATCCTTGTACCTGAGTTTAGCTGAAGTTCGAACACATCTAGAAGAAAAAAAAAAAAAGGATTCATAAATGAACCAAGCAAATCCCCAATTTTTTGACCAACATCTAGTGAGTAATACTCAAAAGGAAGATCTAGCACCTAAATCCAAGTAATACTCAAAAGGTGTATTAGGCACAATCCCAACAGTTGCAAAAATGGATAAGAAAGTGATTTTCAAACTCTTGAGCAAAGCAAATCCTATCTTGAAGACACCAGTCTAGATTGATGAGCAATTAGAGCTTACATGCATGAATAAGTAAGTGATTAAGTACTTTGGCAAAAAGGAGATGACCTCGACGTAACTAACTAGCTTTGGATCGGCTAAAGGAAATGACATTATGAAGAGCAAATAGAGTCCTAAAGCAAGGACAATCAAAGAAAGGTGACATTGTGAAAAACTAATATTGTAGAAGGGGGAAACGAGGTGGTAAGAGATGGGAATGCAAATGAGTTGACAGAAAAAAGGATGAAAAGAGAAAAATGAAAACTTTTTCTCTCTTTTTTTATTGCCAAAAGTAGGAAAAGGAAAAAGTAGTAAAGTGGTTGAGAAGACAGTTGGGAGTGGAGGAAGATTGAGTAACGATAGTGAACAATGGAGAAGACGATGGGTGGGGAGAGCGAAAGTTGTTTCTGAAGAAGAAACATCAAGGTAGTAGATTTGGAGAGAGTAAAGTTAACCCAAAAAAAAAAAACCAAAAAGAAGCCGCAAGAGGGTAAATGAAGGAAAGGATGGAGCTGCAAAAGAAACTGAGAAGGTCGAATGATTGTCGAAAAAAGGGTTAAGACGCTGAAAAAAAAACTTATGAAAGACTAAGATCCATATCTTAAGGGAATGACAAATAAATGTTGTGAATATAAATAGGCGTGTCAAAAGTGACTTACCATGTTACTCAAGAGAGAGGAAGCTCAAGTGTATATATACTATCATATATTATTAGGCTAGTGAATGGGCCTAGAGGAGAAGGAGGATTTCGAGTGCACGACAACAGCCCATCGCTCTTGAGCTTTCGAGCATCCATCTTCTCCTTTACATTTCTCTTTTTCTCCTTTCTCTGTTGCTGGGTTATATTTCTATTTCTACTATTCTATCATCCTGTTTCTTGCAGGAAGGGTTCGTTTAATCCTGGGGAGTGCCGCATCCACATTTACCTATGGTGGCGGAATAACTCTTAAAAACAGTGTCTATCGGCACTACTCGTGTCACATCCAGTAATAGGGATATTCCTAAATAATTAAGGGTCAAAAAAGAATAAGGAAAAATAGAAGATTTATGATGAAAAATAATTATTATAATTTTCCAAGACGATTATGAAAGATTTGACTTATTAAGGAAAATTGGTCAAGAACAATTATGGAAAAATATTTCCAAGTCTCAGAAAAATAAGAAAAAATAAGGACAATGTTCCTTGAGAATTATATGGGATTATAAAATTAATTTTATGATCAAATTGCCCTTAGACAAATTACAAAGAAATTTAAGGGCAATTTAAGCTAGTTTAAGGTCCTTTATTTGGAAAATTCCAAATAAATATTTAGAAGGAGAATAAAATCCCAAGAAAATTCCTATGATATTCCAAGAAATTATAAGAGATTATGGAATTAAAAGAAGACCCTCAAGTGTCCAAGATTTTTTCTAATTCCTTTGAAAGGTGGAAAAAATCACTAAAGAGAAGGAAATTAGTTTTTCTTTTTATTTAATTATTGGAAAATTAAATTTGGAGACAAAGAGGGCAATTTGGGAAGATAAAAATGAGGAGAATAATTTATGGATCTGACAGAAAATAATTACAAAGATCATAGCACTGTAATTATAGAAAAGAAGTTAAACCCGGAGTAAAAGTGCACCGATAAAGTGAAGACTAGAGTCTTGCACTTTACTTGGCCCACAAGTTGCCACTTGTCAAGCCTCTAATGGATGGTAATTAAGGCTTTCCAAGTGTCAAGCATTAAGTGGAGAGGATCTTGACTTTGGAATTTAATTACATTATAATTTACTTAATTAAGAGAGAGGTTTCAAGACTAAGTAGGAGGGTGACATTTGGCAACTCATCTATGATGGTGGTTGGGATATTTTGGTGCCTTAATTGAGCTTTTCATTCCCCATAATCAAATCACTAATTCGTCCAAGGCAAGAAGAGAGGGAAAAAGAGAGAACTTGAAGGGAAATCAAGAGAAAAGCAAGCTACTTTGATCTTCCAACTAAGATTCGAGCTTAGTAAGTTATTCTAAGATGTTCCTTGCTTTGTTTTATTGATTTGTATGATTGGAAAAATCACTTCTTGTCCCTTCTTGTTGCTGGCCGAAATGGGTATAGTGTAGGGAAGGAGGTTTTGTTGTTAAACATAGTTAGGATACTATGAATCAAGGTGGTTTCAAGTGGTTTAGTGTTGTTTTGAAAAGTTTTTCATGGTTGAACTCCAAGAGG